TAGTGCCTCCATAAATGCGCGAAAACATCAGATTACAGGTAACATGCCATAACTTGTACCTGGTAGATCAGGTCGCATTTATACATTCTAGATAGACTCCAGGTAGAAGCATATGCATTAATTCTACAGTGCCTCCATAAATGCATGAAAACATCAGATTACAGGTAACGTGCCATAACTTGTACTTGGTAGCAGGTCGCATTTACACATTCTAGATAGGCTAGTTACTTGTACAGGATGTTGCTCGTTACCTGTACCGGACGCTGCTCGTTACTTGTATAGACCGCCCACCCGCTCACGCTGTACATTGGATGCGTATACATCGTTATGCGAATTTTGCAGTTCTACGCTTATATAGCATTGCTCTAATCTGTTATGTTTGATTGCAGGAGAACACACATATCAGCAAACGAAATGGCAGCTGTAGCAAGAAAAGCGGTAAGCTTTGTTCCTTCTAAAATTACCATTATTTGCCTCAGTTCACTAGTAGAGTAATTCCAGGCGTAACGCAGTGGTTTGGATATTAGGCCGAAGATTCGAAGACTTTGCCTGGTAGGACAAGCAATCCCTCTACGATTCGTTTTTCGATGGTTATAAATTGATGCTGGCACAGTGCCAGAGAATCAAACTTACCATTAACTTGCTTATAAGCAACCCTCGAAGAGGAGCCATCGACCGCCTTGCCAGTGGGTGGTTGTCATTGACGTTTTGCTACCACTCGAGCTTATTGTGATCTCTGACCGCTGTTGGTAATGGTCAGTTTTGAGCTGTCAACAAGTACGGAGTTGCACTTCGACTGTGGAAAAGAACCGGCAGAAGAAGAGCAGTTTGTTCAGTCGCGGCTTCAAATCACTTCGGGATACTAGTCCCCGAACAAAATAAACGAAATGAAAACCAAATTTTCCTTTGGATTCCTGGAGCGTAGACTTTCATCTTCGTTCCTCTTCTGCTGGTTCCTTTCCACAGTCGAAATGCAGCTCCGGGCTTATTGACAGCTCAGAATTGTCCACTACCAATACAGCGGTCGGAGGCCACAATAGGACTATTCCCTCAGTGCCTGCGCTTCCCACTGAGAGGGAATACCTAGGGGATTCTGAATTCTTGACGTGAAATGGATGGTCTCGCGAGGAAGACGGATTCATCGTGATGCAGGCATATTTTCACGTGAAATTGGTGGCGTGGTACTTACTAATATGGGACTTAAAGAAGTCATAGCGCATTTTGTAATTATCGGGCAAATGCGGGGAGATTTTTTTCGTTTTGAATTCGCACTGTATGGTGAAACAATGTCAGATTCCTTACAAATTTTTTTTTTTGGTTCGTTCCTCTCGGTAAATTAGCCCTGGCGGAATGCCTGAGAATCAGATATGCATTCATCATCGTGCTTATCAGCAACAAAAGGAATCAACAGCAACCTTGTGGTTCCTGACCATGCATGCTCCACAGGCTTCTTCCGACTTCCACTGCTCGGACTGGCCGTTATTTCGGGAACAACGGTTTGACCTATCAACAGCCGCAATAAAATTTTTTATCAGTTTAGTCCAATTCGGCCGCCGCCACCACCTCACTTGAACCATCCACTTCAGATTCAGCCTTCTAATGACCGTTACTTATCACATTCATTGCCCAGTTTCTCATAAAAAGTTAATTTAGCGGGGGTTTTGTCTTTTGGTTTACAGCATTGGCCTTCATTGTGGGGGAGGGGGGGATTGTGGCACCAGACACCCCAACAAAGTTGGCCGGGGTCCAATATTACATTCATCATGTTAATAACGGATAGTGTCCTATTTCTTGAGCAGTTAGCCCTTTCGAGTACTGTACGGGTGTTTTCCTTGTGCAGTGCTTGCATTTTTTTTTTCCTCTGTTTCGGCTATACTAAAATGTGGCTGAGATTCCCTAACTCATCATCATATCTCCGTTTTCGTCATTTTTCCATCCATAGCATTAAGCCGAGTGTAGCATCCAAATTGACCCTGGAATCGTAAGTGGCGAAGGTGCGATAGAATAAAAGCAGCATCAGAAGGGTAGAGTGAGATAAGACGTTTCGGTCCATTAAGTCGTATACACCTTAACCCGACATCGCGAGTCAAGCCGTATCTGACAGTTGCCTTGTTCGCTTCTGCAGTTCCGATCAGGTCCTCTCCATATACATGTATTAGTTTTGATTTTTTTTCACGCGTCCAAACATAAGCGCTTTATCTTCTCTACATTAGTTGTGTTAGTTTTTCCCTTTTTTTTCACAAATCCTTCCTTTCTTTTCTTCCTCCGACTATGACTGCAACAACCCCTGCATTTTCAGCTCGGTGAGATGATCAAGGCGTTCAAACCGTTGGCCGATCGTGTGCTGGTAGAGCGATTTGCTGCGGAAACGAAGACGAAGGGTGGTATTATGATCCCGGACAAAGCACAGGGCAAAGTTCTCGAAGCAACGGTTATTGCCACCGGCCCTGGAGGACGTGATAACAAGGGCAATCTTATCCCGATGAGTGTCCAGGTATCGTTCTCGCATCAAAATCTTTTTAAGGATTCTTTTTGGTGTGGCGAATATTTGTTTGATGGCCCTGTACTTCCTGCTTTTTCGGCTTTTTTGGTCAAAAAATCAGAGCCGGGGCGATCCTCTTGCGTAGTGGACAGGTGTTTCGCGCTGATTTATGGTTATTTGAGCTATTTGGTCGAATTGTGCGGGAAAATTAGCCGCGAGTTGAGTGGCCGGGCAGAGAAAACGATTTCTGTATTGCGTCATGGGCTCTTTTTTTTGTAGCCTGGTGAACACGTGTTGCTTCCGGAATATGGTGGTACGAAGGTGGTGGTCGATGAGAAAGAATATCATATTTTCCGAGAAGCGGACATCCTTGGCAAATTCGAGAACTGATCCAAACATGCATTTGAACTCCGCATAGTTTTTTGATGATCATGCGTTTAAAAAATTTCTTTTTTATTCCGAGTTGTTATTTTGAACTGTTCCGGGTTTTTCTTTCGACTGTGTTCCCCCAGATTTTATGGGAAATCTCGACATTAGGATTGCTCCTCCTCAAAGGGAACCTGATTTGACGTGTTGCAAAGATTCCAGTAAAAGAAGGAAAGCGCTGTGTTATCGTTCATATTTTTCGTAGTACCATCTCATCTAGGATATGTCTGGGAGGGCCATAACCCTGGAGTAGTAAATGTGAGAAAAAAAGAAAAGCGTCAAATGGGGAAAAAAGTACCGCAGTTGTTTTCTGAAAAGCAGCACAAGATTCGGTTTCGCCAGTGGGAGATAATCAGTGAAGGTACCAAATATTTTAAAAAAAAGGGATGTTAAAATAAATGAATTGGTTTTTTGGTATATGAAAAGTCTGATAGGATCCTGAAATCGTTGCAATTAGCATCAAAATTTCAAAAAAACATGCAGTCCGGGGCAAAAACCAGGGGAAAATTCAGCTAAATCTCTTACATATTCGTATATGAGGCTTAAGCTTACTAGGTCGCACAGGGAAAAAATTGATTTATAGCTTTTTTTGATGCCTACAGGTCGATGAACCCCCCTCTCCTTCCTTCCTGCCCTCCATCTTCCCCTTCTTCCCCCGCTCCTACCTTCTCCTTCCTTTCCCCCCTTCCCTCCCGTTCTCCCCTTCCATCAGTAAGCGCCTTTACAGCTTTTTGCGGTGCTCACAGGTCGATAAATCCCCCTCCCCCCCGTTTTCACCTCGCCCCTCTTTAATAAGCTTCTTTATTAAGAGATTTTCATGGGTGAATCAAATTAGTAGTTGAGGTGATTGTGGTGTTCGGCCAGAACAGTTCCTGACAGTATTTCACTCCGGTGCTCTGTATTAGAGTGGTTGCTGCTTGCCTTCCCAAACGCACAAAATTGTTTTTGTTTCCTGTTGTGTGTGTTAAGAGAGAAATAAATATCATTTAATCCTTTTACAATTACTACAGCACAAATCAAGGTTTAATACTTTTACAAGATTTTCTAGCCGAACAGTTAAAAGCACAAGTCACAATGGAGAAGCAAGCGTTGATGGTGATAAAGATATATACTTCGTTTTTCTTTCCTTCATTTTTTTACATCATTTTCTCTTTATCCTTTAATGTACATGGGAGATGCGGCCATGGAATTTGGGTACCAGGAATCCATGAAAAATGATGCGAAGATTGTAGCCATAATAACAAGCAAGCTACTAATTGTACCAACGTGGAATAGACAAACCGAGTGCGCCAAAGTTACTCGGATTACCAAAAAATTCCACGGGACTTATAAGTTGGAGCAAATTTAGGTAATTTTGCAGCGATGATTGTATAATTATTACCTAATACATATTACCCGTGGATATTCAGAGGGACAATTTACACTTGACAAATCTCTTGCAAGAAATAATGTTGGTGGAGTGCTGCTTACGGATAGGCTGAAGCATCGACCAGGTGGCGCAACGGATCTGCAATACTGGCAAGAAAAGATGGAGGGGTAGAGCCGGGATGACCACAGCATTGGTCATACAGGCCAGAAAAGACTGTCGGCTATCTTCAGGGGCAAAGAACCGTGCGCATTGTCATTTTCACGATTCTCAAATCTTTCCACCAGTGAAAGACAGGCCAGGAGTACCACGGAACTGAATTTTTCATGTGTTCCAACCAGAAGTGGAAGAATTTTAGATCGTTTTCAGGAACGTCAGCGAGATTTTGCTACCATATACCTTAACGATTGGAGGGATACTTATAGAAATTATTGGTATCGGAAAGCTGGCGAGGCTCAAGGAGCAGTGAAAGCGGCCGCATTCATACAGTTATGAGTACCGCTGGTGGCCTGAGATGACTGAAAAAATTTTCTGTGGTAAAGAAAAACATAGGAGTTAATGTGGAGAAACCAGATTACGTTGAAAAGTGAAAAACGGACCAGGAATGATAAACGATGCGAATAAGGTGGAGAACAGGAAGCACAACTTGCTCAGAGTTAGCTTCGTTGTACTCAGGCAACTACTAGATGTGGTGGTTCTACACTCCTCTTGGTCGACAGTACTGTACCATGAATGTGAGGGGGAGACGGGAGAGCGGGAAAGAGGGGGGGGGGGGGGGG